GCCCAAAGCCATAGATGAGGGTAGGAATGTAGATCGACAGGTAAATTGAGAGCTTCACCTTTTGACTTAGCTCTCTCCTCACCACGACAGACCGGTGCAGCGCCCGCTTCACTGCAGATGCCAAACCTATCTGCCTATCAATCTCTCGCTCCATTTTCCCCTCATTCGTGAACAAGACCCCGAGATACTTAAACTCCTCCACTTGGGGCAGGACCTCCTCCCCAACCCAGAAAAGGCACTCTACCCTTTTCTAGCTTAAGACCATGGCCTTGCATTATATATTTGGAGGAACTGATCCTCATTCCGCGTCACAATCGGTTGCGAACCACTCCAGCGAAAGCTGTAGATCACGACCTGATGAAGCCAATAGGATCACATCATCTGCAAAAAGCAGAGACACGATCCTAAGGCCACCATAATGGATCCCCTCATCACCTTGTCTGCACCTAGAAATTCTGTCTATAAAAGTTATGCACAGAATCAGTGACAAAGGGCAAACTTGGCGAAGTCCAGCTCTCACTGGGAACGAGCCCCACTTACTACTGGCAATGCGAACCAACCGATGGACCCTCCTCTTCAGAACCCCTGAATAGACCTTACCAGGGAGGCTCAAGAGCGTGATCCATCAGTAGTTGGAACACACTCTGCGGTCCCCCTTTTTGAATAGGGGAACAGCACCCCTGTCTGCCAATCCAGGGGAATTGTTCCCAATGTCCACGCAATATTTCAGAATCGTGTAAGCCAACACAACTCCACAACATCCAGAGCCTTAAGGACCTCCGGACGAATCTCATCCACCCCTGGGGCTCTGCCACTGAGGAGGTTTTTTACCACCTTGGTGACCTCAGTACCAGAGATTGGAGAGCCCGACACAAAGTTCCCAGGCCCCGCTTCCTCAGTGGAAGACATGCTGGTGGAATTGAGGAGGTCTTCAAAGTACTCTGCCCACTGACCCACAATGAAGAACAGAACAGGGCATTTAAATCTGGATCAGTTTTATGTGTTGTTGCTAATCCCATCACCATGCTGCTCACATGTCGAACAGTTCAGCTTCATTAGGAAAGATATAAACCTGTGAGATAAAAGGGGAATATGATCTTTCCTAATGACGGACAGATCCTAACATAGGTGTTCAATATTCAGCTTGTGAACTACCAGTAGGCTTTTAAAAAATAGAAAAATATTAACTTAATTGCCAAAATTGTTTGACATTTATTTTGCCCTTGTGTTGAGTTACCAATATAATTTTAACATAACTGATTAAATAAGTC